ACCCGTTGGAGCACTACCAAAGTTTGGCTTGAACCCAGCAGAAGCCGATGTACTAGTCGAACTACCACCGAAGTTTGGCTTGAATCCGGTAGAGGCTAAGGTACCTGTGGAGCTGCCACCAAAGCTTGGCTTGAAGCCGGAGGTCTCTGCACCGTTAGCAGTCGGCGCTGACGGTGTGAAGACGAATCCTGTAGTTGGTGCAGCTGGTTTTGAGGGTTCCGTAGCAGGCTCCTCGGCCGTCTTTGGCGCAAAGAGACTTGTCGATGATGTTGCCGTAGGTGTAGATGGCTTGTTACCGATTGCCTTGGCAAACATGTTCGATGTTGCTGTTGCTGGCGCACTGAGCTTCGGCGTAGAACCCGACAACTGAGGAGTTGGACTGGAAGGCGCTTCGGTTGCGCGAGCTCGCTTCGAGGGAGATGGGTCACGACGGACTTCGGGGCTCTCATCGCTGACCTTGCGCTTCGTAGACAGGCTTGATTCGTTGCCAGTGATGCCTCGTGCAGCTGCGCGTTGCTTCTTCGCGTTATCAATCTTCTTCTTTATATCCGCGGCATGTTGGTAGTGCCAGAGAGACACACTCGACCAATCCGCTGTGAGGGGAAGGCTGCTTAGCTGCTGTCGGTACTTGTCGTTCAACACCTGAAGTTGGGCGGTCAAATCAGATATCTGCTTCAGCAGGCCATCGCTGCTTTGCGCACGAATGGCACCTGGAACAGCCCACTCCTTCGGAACGTGCACCTTGGGAACCTTGGGCATCTCGAGTGCTTGTGAATCTCCGTTGAGATCTGACAGGGCGGGCGCGGGAGAGGGTTGTGGAGGTTCCTTTGAAGCGCTGAACAAGTTGGGGCGATCGGTGGAAGGCTTGGACAAAGAGGCGAAGGGGTTGGAAGCCTCGGTGGATTGGGTGGGCGTGGCCTTGGGCGCTTCTGAAGTTGGTTGTGGCTTCTTGAACAAGTTGCTCGAGTTGTTGTTCTCGGGTTGAAATGTCTGAGAGAAGAGACCAGAGCTAGTCTTGGGTTGAGCTGCAGTGAACATTCCGCCCTGTGATTTCTCCACGTCGGTCGTCTTTGCCGGCTGCGGTGTGCTGAATGGCTGGAACAGACTGGACTTTGGTGCTTCGGGAGCTTTCACTGTTGCTGCACCAGTATCCTTGTTCGCACCAAATAGGCTAAATCCGGAACTGCTACCTGTTGCAGCAGGCGTGTCGTCCGGCTTTGGAAGCGCAGCGAATGGGTTTGGTTTGGGCGCATCCATCGACGCTGTACTGCGAGACTCCTCAGGTTTCTTAAGGCTTCCGAACAAGTTCGATGGTGTACTCGCCGTTTCAGCGGAGGATTTGTTTTCTGCTGTTGGGAGATTCGCAAACGGATTGCTAGGGGCAGAGCTTGTGGTTCCGAAAAGGTTGGTCGAGGGCGCAGTCGATGTCGCGCTGTCAGGCTTTTGTGCAGTTGCGCCGAAGTTGAACAAATTCGATGTCGGAGCGGTCGCGGTAGCATTTGGCGTGCCTTGCGCGCTTGTACCCAAACCCCCGAAAGGATTGCTTTGCTTCGGAGTCTCTGAGTTGCTCTCGCTCTTCTGTGCGTTGGAACCGAAGCCACCAAAGATGTTGTTTGCGGGCGCAGGCGACTGCTTGGGCGCCTCTTCCTTTTGCGCATTAGCACCGAACGTGAACGTGCTTGTTTGTGACGCCGCTGGTTGTACTGAGTTGCCAAACCCGCTGAACAGGCCGCTCGTGGCTGGTGTGCTTGCCGTGTTCGAGGCTGACGTAGTGGAGGCGCCAAATGTGAAGGGCGTAGATGCGGGAGCAGGAGTGCTCGTAGCGTTCGGGGCGCCGCTCGTAGTGCCAAACATGCCACTAGGGGCAGCACTCGAGGTTCCAAACATACCACCAGAGGGTGCAGCACTTGACGTCCCAAACATACCGCCTGAAGGTGCAGCGCTTGATGCCCCGAACATGCCTCCTGTTGGCGCAGCACTCGATGTACCGAACATACCTCCTGACGGCGCGGCACTAGATGTTCCAAACATTCCTCCGGAGGGAGTTGAGCTGGTAGTACCGAACATGCCGCCCGAGGGCGCCGAGCTCGTGGTGCTGTTCTGGCCTAGGCTACCAAAGGGATTCCCCTGTGTTGAAGCATCGTTACCAAATATAGACGACCCTCCGAAGGCTGGCGCAGGCGTGTTTCCGTTGGTCGCAGGTGCCGAGTTCGCGTTCGCGAACGGGTTTGCACCTCCAGCTGTGAAGTCGAAGCCCGCAGACGATGGTGGTGTGGGATTGAAGCCTGTGCCCTGGTTGCTACCTCCAAAAGCCGGGAAGGACGAGCTTGAAAAAGTGTTGCTAGGGGCAGCGGGCTGCGCGGGTGGGAAGCTGTTAGTCGCGCCACCACCGAAAGCATTGTTGCCGCCGAAGCCGTTCGCGCCGTTGTTCGCGGGGGCGGGCGCGGAGGTACCGAAGCTGAAGGCGTTCTGTTGTGGTGCGCCAAAGTTTGCGCTCTGTGAGAGACCCTGAGCGCGTACATTAGCCAAAGCCTCCTCCTTACGACGCATCTCGTATCGCCCTTTGCGGGTGTAGCGGTCTGCCGGCATGTTGGCACAGCGCTTGATGGGGCGGTGGAGAGCGTGTTGTGTTGTTTGGGGTACTCACGGAGGAAGCGCCTGCTGGTCGACGGGCTTTCGCGGTCTTGATTCTGGAAACAAAGAGTCAGCACGCGACCGTGAAAGAAGACCATCGCGAAATGGAAGTGGCGTGAGGCCAAAGTGAGGACTCGTCAAGGGCAACTTACTTGCGGGATGCTAACTGTGCTGCTGTTGCCTTCTGGGGCACATCCGCGACATCTTCGCGCTCTTCGTAGGGGCGCTCAGGCTTTCCCTGGCCAAAGATGTTTCCCCGTTTCATGGACGACATGGTCGCGATCACTTATGGGGTCGAGAAGTGATGGATGCGGTCGGATGATGGCGTGTCGGGCTATAACTCCATGGGACGCGCGTGAGAGATGGAGATGGTTCTGAGGTAGGATGTTTTTGATGTTCGGGAAGTTGCGACCCGTGCTCGACGTCAGGGTGGGCCTTAGTCATGCCCCAGCAACGCGACTTTCTCACTGAGCATGGAGCAAACTGCTATGCGCGTAGACGAAGCAGTACAGTGCGCGCATGTAATGCAATACACCGATTTACTTTTGGCCTCGCCTCCAATTTCACAACTACAGATACTGCCAGATAGTTACATACTTGCACATGCCTGCTGCACTAATTGGTAAAGCCAGATTACGACATGCAGCAATTTGAGATACAAAATTTTCGATGAGCCTAAACTGGTTCCGATGTTACTGTCTCCTGTTGAATAGACAATGTATTGGTCCTTGGCAGAAGCTGGGACCAGGTTCATCATGCTGCCCATCATCAGGAAAGCTGTAGTAGTAGTAGTAGTAGTAGTAGTAGTAGTAACAGGATAACCCGTAGATGTCAGCGCGACGCGTCGTAGGATACCATGACAAAGTAGCCAACAAAGGCGATCATGGAACTCTTCGTAGAGAGACAAAACACAAAGGTGGGACACAGGATTCTTCTACGGTCAATACGCCCTTCAGAGGCGCCTTCTCAACGCCATGTACAACGAGAGGTCACTCAGAAGACAGAAACCGGCTTTTGGCGTGATTGGCGTCATAATATAAGTGTGGATGCTGCAGGGCTGACTGTGCAGCACTAAGCAGATGGCTCAGTCCCCAATACTCAAATGAACATGTCATACTACTTTGTCGGGATCGCAGACACGTGCTCGAGGAAGATCAACAGGAACATGGTTGGACCAGAGTGTGGGGTAGACGTGTTTCATCCATGGATGTTTCATCCGCGCCGTGGTGAAATAGCGCGCACGTGAGGTACCACGACAAGGCATTCCCAGGCCAGGCCCCCTCCAGGCCTCGTCGTCATGCGGTGTTTGCACTAAGGTGAGAGATAACAGCCTTGAATATTGGGTGGCTTAGACTAGGACCAGGTCTGGGTGATAGCGGGGTAAGCGGAGTATCTCTCGTGAGAAGGCAGCCAACTCGTCCATGGACAGAGCACCCAGTATGGCTGAGGCGTACACGGTTTGAGACATACGAATCGCGAGTCGGCTGTAGGAACCCAGGTCAGCTTGCTGCATTGGCGCGTACGGCCCACGTTTGCAGTGATGAGCCGCAGCTCTGCTCGTGACCTCTCATGATCGAGCCCGCCGCCCAGCTGCTGCGCGTTCCGACGCTGCTGTGCCACTAGATTGCGTGGAGTTGCTGCGCGACCAAGCATCCAGGCGGGGCGAAAGAGGAGAGAGATCGAGCATTTTGCGGTGCGAGCAGCCATGAGGCATATCTCGTCGGACGGCACGGTAGCACTCTGTTCCGTGGCTCACGAGCGGTGAGGCTCTCCCAGCCAGTCGTCTTGTTATCTCGATCCAAGCAAACGGCGACTCCGCTCCAGCCGGTCTCCTCTCCTACCCAAGTACCTCCACACACCCACGCGACAAGACGGGCCCGGGCAGCGCATATAAGCACTCGCCTCCCCAATCGCCGCGGGCGTCCGTCTCGAGTGGTGATGCTCTGCCCATCACTCCAGACAACGTAATCCATCACTCATCGCGGGCTAACCGTTTAGGCGCTTAGAGCCGAGGCCGCCGCCAGTTGGACTGAGCGTTCGCGTTCGCAGCATTCCCAGCAACCAAGGAAGCGTCTTCCGGCTAAGTAACCGCCGTTTTCTCTGGTAAATACGCCATCGGCCGTCGTCAATCCTGGAACTGCCCCGGATCATCAACAGCGGCCCGCTCTCCCCAAGACTTGACACAGTGGTTTCGTCACCATCTGTTGGGAAACGCTTGACGTCCGCGGAACCATCGGAAGAGTCCTGACGTTCACGTTGGCTTGGTGATGCTCCTGCGTGTAACTTGAACCATCCTCAGAGCGCTGATCACTCCTGGCCTACCTACTCTGACATGCGCCGATAACACGCGCGAGCAACCTTCCAACATGTCGACCCGGCATGCGCGTCTTCACAAACGAGGATACTCCGCCTCAGCTGCTACGAGCCCGCGCCCTCTGAGCCCCGTTGCTGACTACGACGCCTTTACCTTTAATCGTTCGGAAACACCCAAGGTCTTCGAGCAGTCTTGGATAGAGACACAACGCCCCATGCCTTCCACGACTTCCTCCCACCAGCTCAAGATCAAGCCCTACCTGCGCAAGCTCTCGTCCAAGGAGAGCAGCGGGCTCGATCTATCACGACCTGCGGCCGAGAACGACCTCTCCGGTCTGGGCATTTCAGAATATGGCGCCTACTCACGGTCCATATCCGACGTTACTTTTTCCCCAGTCAACGGCCGCCACAGACACAACCGCTCAACGTCCAACACGTCCCAGTTTTCCTCTTCCTCTGGGCTGCAGCGGCCGACACCCCTGCCGGCCATTCGCCAGACTCCGCAGCCCTACACACCGCCAATAGCCCACTCGTCACCGCCATCAGTCCTGGGAAGCGACCACGAAGGTGATGATATCATGTCCGACGATGAGTTCCGCCTGAGACAAAACGCATACGAACCAGGACGCAGATCCGGTTCCATCTCCTCGGCACAGGGAACATCCCTACGCATCCACACCAACAATTCATCCACCCGCCTTGCTGGCAGCTACTCCCAGTCATCCGTCTCGCTCACTTCCCCAGTCGGAGTACCTCGCGCGCGGGGTGATACGCTCAAATCCATTGACACGACTTCACCCAGCTCGCGCACCTCGTTTGACCAGACATACCGCTTCATCCGCGGCGGACGCGACTCCCCCGTTGACCCTGCCTCAAGAGCTGCGTCCATCCGTGCTGCGCGACAGAAGTTCGAGGAGGAACAGCGAGCCAAAGAGCGCAAGTACGAGAAAGAGGCGCACAAGCAACAGGAGCGCGACTTCAAGAAACAACAGAAGAAAGAAGATCACCACCGTCGCAAGTCAGAAACGCTCGATCGGACTGAGGTAAACCGTACGCGCACTGTATCTACTGATTATGAGAAGACGCCACGGCCCTCGGTGGGAGGCCGCCCTTCAGTGGGTGGGCGCCAGTACTCAGACCATCGCGAGGCGCACTCCAACTCGCTGCCGAAGCTTGTGACTACGGTCGACCCCGAGAAAGCAGCTGCCTTCTCTGCCACACCCAAGGTCACAAAGAGCCGAGCCGCAAAGGGCACATGGCAACGATTCGTCATCTGGCTCAAGACTCGACTGCTGCGCATGTCGGGGAAGTAGGTTACATGCACTGCCACACGAGTAGTAGTTGCATACAACCTCGACGCGTAAGCGGTCGGCTGAGGTGCCACGCCACCGTCTCTCTACCCCTCGATGCCCTTTATAGCCCTCTCACTTGACCCGGCACTTGAGCAGATTGGTTACGCATCTTATCCTTATACCCGATTCATTCTTGCATATTCTTTACTTGTTTTTAGCATGGCGTTCGGTTTGGGATAACGGCCTTTTTCATGATATATGCTTCCCACATGCTTATGCTGTATATCCTACGAGCATCTCTAGGGACACGGCTCTTACCTTTTGGCGCATTGATAGAGATCTGCTTTGGTTATCGCTCCTTTTTTTTGGTCCATCTTTATCACTCAGTTGACAGGCGTTGGATAGTTTCCCCAAGACCGACACCGCGTGGCGGTATTTTGGGTTCCTTTGGTTGGGCGCTGGGGTTGTCTTTGGTATAACGCTCTGGCTTCGGCCATTGAGCCTCGCAATTGCAGTATATTTGAACAAATCATGTTGACCATATTTGATTTCACTTGCCGTTGTCGTGCGATATGTTGTGCTGTGATAAGCTGACGGACCGTAATGCGATGCTTCACATCTGTTCCGCAATGTCGTGATATTCGCAAGTATCACGTTTCCATGCGTAATTCCTGATTCCGGAAAAGCAAGCATGAACGATTCTCCACAACACATGGATTTCCCATTACTGGTTGTGACGTGCATATACAACTCTTGGCAGCGTCTTAAGTCCGGGATTTACCCGCGCATCATCATCGTTCACCTCACATGCAAAGCTTTCCCCGCAGTTGTCGCCTCGCCGACTACGACATGAGCGAACGCCAGTCATAGTCGCAATGCCTTTACGAAGCCTACCGCGAGGCTCATTCGCCCTACGGACCGCCAGAGGAGGGGCGCTATGGCGGGAATGCGGAGTTGGTGTGGGAGTGGGAAGAATAACGCAGAGGCGATGGGCGAGTGAAAAGAACAGGATGGGCAAGGATGACGAGAAGCCATTCTACCTCCAACTCAATGAGAGTATCTACGAGCGTGTACAGAAAGAGAAGGCAGAGCAGATTCAGATTCAGTCGCTGCAGCAAAGAACGGCAAGAGGTCAATTCTTTGCGACAGTATTCGGTACTAGAATCCAAACATCTCAAACATGGCGCATACTAATGATTGATTAGCATGTTTTCTCACAGGCTGCATAGGCTACTACTACGGCCAGATGATCCCCCCGAAGCCAGACACGAGCTCGACCGCGCCACTCGAGACCTTCAATCCTCCCAAGCACAACATCTCAGAAGCGAACATGGAAGCAGCCTGGACAGACTTGCGTGACATTGTCGGCAGAGAGAACATCACACTGGACAAGAACGATCTAGAGTCGCACAGCGGATCTTCGTGGTCTTCGCATCCTTCTCAACCTGGCGACGTGCCGTTCTGTATCGTGAAGCCTGGCAGTACCGAAGAAGTCAGCGCCGTCATGAAGGTCTGCCACGAGCGCAAGATTCCAGTCACTCCGTATAGCGGAGGCACAAGTTTGGAGGGCCATTTTGCTGCAACAAGGGGCGGTATATGCATCGACTTCAGTCGCATGGACAAGATCGTGAAACTACACAAGGACGATTTGGACGTTGTTGTCCAACCTGCAGTGGGCTGGGAACTTCTAAACGAGGAGCTTGCGAAGGAAGGCTTGTTCTTCCCTCCCGACCCAGGTCCAGGCGCAATGATCGGCGGCATGGTCGGAACAGGATGCTCTGGCACAAATGCGTATCGCTATGGCACAATGAAGGATTGGGTGATATCGCTCACCGTAGTCCTGGCTGATGGAACTGTCATCAAGACACGACAACGGCCACGAAAGTCTTCTGCTGGATACGACCTCACGCGTATGTTTATAGGCAGCGAGGGCACATTGGGCCTCGTCACAGAAGCTACGCTCAAGGTCACTGTAAAACCACAACACACCAGTGTAGCCGTATGCGCCTTCCCATCTGTCCGTGCAGCAGCAGATTGCGTCTTCAGGGTCGTTGGTGCGGGCGTACCTATCGCCGCTATCGAGATCCTCGACGATGTTCAGATGCAGTGCATCAACGACGCGGGGCAAACCTCCAAGACATGGAAGAATGCACCAACGCTCTTCTTCAAGTTTGCCGGTACTCAAAGTTCGGTCAAAGAACAAGTCAGCCAAGTGCAAGGTATGGCCAAGAAGTCCGGCTCTGTCAGTTTCGAATTCGCCAAATCTGAACAAGAGAAAGAAGACCTGTGGCAAGCGCGCAAGGAGGCACTATGGAGTGTCATGGCCAAGAGCGAAGGTGATCCCGAGATGGGAGTTTGGACTACAGATGTTGCCGTGCCAATATCTAAGCTCCCTCAAATCATCGAAGAGACTAAAGAACAGATCCGGCAGAGCGGCCTACTAGCTAGTATTGTAGGACACGTTGGAGACGGAAACTTCCACTGTAAGCTCATATTATCTTTACCTTTTTCCTGCAGACTTTGCTCACATGCACTACAGCCATCATCCTGTACAATCGTAACCGCGACCACGAAAAGGCGTCTCACCTTGTCCACGAAATGGTCAAGCGTGCCATCGAACTCGAAGGCACTGCCACAGGGGAGCACGGCGTTGGTCTTGTCAAGAGAGACTACCTGCCACACGAAGTAGGCCAAAGTACCGTTGACGCGATGAGGCAGCTCAAGAAGGCTTTCGACCCTCTTTGCTTGCTCAACTGTGACAAGGTTGTTCGTGCGACGTTGCCTAAGCAAGGCGAGGTCGCTGAGTGGTGAGGTAGCTGTAGAATATAACCAAGTTCTTTTTCTTTCTTTCGCAAAGATCAATTATATGGAGTATCGTATAGTCTTCGACTGCAAACTTTCCCCCCTATGCCTATATGCCTTCCTTTTCTCCAAGTGTAAATTCCTTTATACTCAAACAAACAGGCCATATACCCAGTACCCAGGTCCCCTCCATGCTCCATTCAGAAACACCCTCTCCTCCTCATGCTTCCAACCCAGCTTCTTGAACCCGAGTTTATCCAATACCTTGATGCTACCGGGATTGTCCTCGTCTACTGCTGCTTCAACATATGCTTTCTCTATCCCATGTCCTTCTTGGCTGTTGTTTTGGGTTGCCGACGACGAAGACACAAAAGCAGCATAAGCGTTCAACAGCGCGTGACCCGCTTCCGTCGCATATCCCTTGCCTCGTGCTGAGGGAAAGAAGGCGTATCCTAATACCCTCATACTCTCTGTTGATGAGTGTGGGTATTCCGAGGATGGAGGCGGAAGAGGGATGGAGGGACCGCTGGGCTGAAGACGAAGGCTTACACTGCCTACATGCTCCCCTAAGCCAGTTTCGTCGCCAACCTCACCATCGTTGCTTTTCAAAGTCGAAGCCGAAGGGCTGGATGTTGCAAACACAGAGTAGAACATACTATCGTTTCCTGGTGATGGTGCTAGTTGTTCTTTCATCCACTCATAGCTTTCTTCCAAGGAGTGCGTGGGTCCATGGAGACTCCATCCTGTGGCATCGTGGTTGGACCAGTTTTCGTGGAAGAGACGAACGTGCGGTGAGGAAATTGATGAGATATCTGTTAGGCGGAGGAGGGTTAATCGCTGGCTGTAAATGAGGGTCTCCATGACTGTGTTGAATAAAGACAATTTGTTTTGTAAGTTCCTGAAACGACCTCTTGTGTAGAGTATTTATAGGGTTGAGTAACATTGACTATGACGGATAGGGCGATGTTGAGTAGGATGTGAGTCAATGATGCTTAGTGTTTGGTCGAGAAGCATTCCAAGTTTTTTTTACAGCGGTGGAGATGTGTAATCTTAACTCATGCAGTCGTAGTTTTGACCTCGTATCTGGACGTCAAAGATTTGGGTATCGTCATTGTCCATCCGTGCAGCGGATGGTTTCAAGTGAGATTTCGCCCGAAACGGATACACGTGAAGACGCGTAGACGTGTCCGCCTAGCGCGTCTTCTTCGCGTTGACATTTCAAGATTCCTCGCGTCGATTACACCTTATATCCACCCATCTACTTAGAATGCTACACAACTCATTGGTTTTGCTTCTACAGACAGATGGCTGTGCGATTGGTCATACTACGCTATTCATAGACCAAAGCTGATAACTCATTATGACACAACCTCGGTCATCAGATCCTTCGGCCACACCGGCTGGTCTACACCGTTTCCTCGCGTTCCTACGTTGTAACCGAGCTTTACGTTCCCCTGTGGATATTGAATGATGGGCTTAACAGCTTTCACATCCTTTCCGATTGCACCTGCGTGTCGAACCTCGAAGAAGTCCGGTTTGAAGAGCACGGATCCCGAGTTCTCGGCCAACATCTTCATGTAATGCGGCAACGTATACTGCATATTGTGGTAGTGACGGAATACCTGATGTCCGTTACGTGTCCAGACTTCTTTCCAGACGTCTTCAGGATAGGTGCCGACGCTATTCACTAGCCATTGAGAGTAGTAGTTCAATGCGACCTATAAACGTTGGTATCAATAATGCTACAAGAACAGTGAAAAAACTTACATCGACTTTGTAGGAACCCCCCTCATCGCCTCTTCGAAGTAGTGCATTCAGCACTCCGATGACCCCAGACGTACCCGTGCAGAAATCGCTATTAGGAAAGACAGGTGTGACAGGCTCGTCTCTGCCCATAGCTCGTCCAAACTCCATTGACACGCCACAGCAAGCATCAGAAATTTGCTGCCAACCGCTCCGATAGGACCAAGGTCCATACCAGCCATAGCAATTCTCCCGCACAACGATTAGACCACGCTCTCGATCTTTCGTCAGATCCAGTAAGCCTTCCGGGGAAAACCCATATTTGTCGAGTACACCAGGCCGATAGCCCTGCACCACTACATCAGCATCTCGAACCAAGGCGCGTAGTTTTTCTCGGTCCTCTTCCTTTCGGAAATCAAGATGCGAGTTCCATTTTCCCCAGTTGAGATCGACGTGTAGCATGGACATGTCGGTAATATGCTCTGCTGTTACTCTCATTACCGAAGCACCGAGTTCTGCAAGACCTCTCGTCAGAGCTGGCGCAGCGATGACGCGGGTCAGATCGACTACTTTGAGCCCTGCAAGTGGCCTCTTTGCACTCGTCCCTGGGCTATCTGACCACCAGCACGCTGGCTGCTTCTTGTTCTTGATATCGTGGACTTCATAGAGGCCGACATGAGCATTTGCTTTACCATGCTCGCTCTTCTTGAACTCCTCAGTCGTCCAACAGATTGTACCGGCTTGTTTGTACACATCCGACGCCAACTTCTGCATCTCGCCGGAATCTATTTGTGCCAACTTCTCCACGTATGGGGTCCACGGCTCTTCCTTCTCTGACAACTCCTTATCATACGGCAACCCGACACTTTCCTGGGTTGGATCAGGATTCATGGAACCGTGCAAATGGAAGTATCTTCCATCTTTGCACCGATAGATGTTCGTAGCCGCTACACGGTATGTACTCCTACTCCCATCATGTTTATCACAGTTCTTGAAGTACTTGTTGTATGCGCTCGACCCCTTTGCAAATGGTTTGGTCAAAAATTCGATCTTCTCGCCTTCCGGGTCGACAACGTTGAGTAAGATGGACATGAAGAAAAGCTGTGCATGGTCGCTTGTTTGACCGACACGCGTTAGCTATTTGGAAAAGCGCTCGTCCGCAAAGAGGATTACGTCTTAGCAACTCACGTATCTATGATCGCTTCTTGTGGTTCCAAGCCATATTTCCTCTTCAGAAGAACATTGATCATGGCCGCTTCTAGCCCCTTGAGTGCTGAGATACTTTCGGCGAAGCGCCAGTTTATCGGTATACTGGGCTTAGATGTGCCTTTGAACTGGACTTTCTTCGCGCATTCTGCGATTTCCGCGGGGAGTGTGGGGGCGATCAGAGGGTTGTTCAATATTCCATTGTCAAATACATGTTGCGTTTCGTTAGGAACGGAGTAACTTTTGGAACTGCCGTTGGTAGCATTGTTCAAGCTATTGGTATGACCGTTCGTATCGTTGATGGTCATGATGGTATCAGCGGTCTGGAATTGGGTTTGTAAGTTCAGAGGCAGAGCTACGACATGCGGGTATCGAGAGCTTTATTGTTCTCACATATCCGAGTTGCGACCCACTCGGACCGATCATTCATTGGGTCTCGTACGAAAGCGCCCACTACGCCAATCGGCTCACCAGCAACATCGCGCTACAAAACCTTAGTCGTCAGCTGTGACATTCAAGCATTGCCGATCATGATAGATGAACGCATATTGCATCTCACTAACGTTTGGTATACCCGATTCGGTCCTCGGTAGATCGAACTAGTCGAGTCGCCCAAGGTGGGGTATCACCCCGCATCTAGTGTTGTATCAGGAAGAGGATGTGGTATTGAATCTAGGATGTTTGATGGGATGGCTTAAATGGAACTTGTGTTGCTATAGTGTTGGATTCCAGCCATGCGTAGGCTTGTACGCCGTTGTCACGACATTGAATAACGTATATAACCATCTTGTGCGAATTACTCAACAAACTAATCCGAAAACAAATCAACGAACTTGTCTGGCCAGGTTGAAACATCAAAAGGGTGGGCAAATACGTGGAGCTTGTAGAGGAAGTATCAATTTTAACCTCCATTCTGACTACGAAGACGGCCAGTCATGTCATCAAATTACAGCAGTAGATGGACTACACAGCGGGGGACCCGGCCAGTGAGGGTAGCGAACTGCTCAGGATACAAAGGTAACACTGACCTTGCGCCTAGCCTCAATCTCAGACTTACATGTCCTAGGCGATCCAGGGTACCATATGCGCTACCAAGCAGAACTGGGAGATACAGATTTTATCACGGGCGACTATCTTGCCGAGGTCAACATTGCGGAAAACGCCCAGGCACATGCAGAGGGCAAGCATCCTGGTTGGGAAAAGACAGCTTGGGATGGGCTTGAGCAAACCATCGATTTACTGAATGAGAAGAGAATCAAGGTCGTTGTTAACGGCGGTGCGCATAACCCCAAGGGTCTAGCGGAGAAGGTACAAAAACTCGTGAGTTTGCACCCTTCACCCTAGACATCTAGTGCATGATTTACTCAGATATGGTTAGGTCGCGAGTAAAGGCTACGACTTGATGGTGGCGTATGTGTCAGGTGATAACTTGATCAATGAGATGAAGGACGTCAAAGAGAAAGGTTTACCACCACACCTGGATTCTGACAACAGCGAGGTGACGGTCGCTGACCATGTACTTGATATTCTGAAGGGTGACAAGCCGATCGTCAGCGCGAACGTCTACCTCGGAGCTCGCGAAATCGTGAAAGGCCTTGAAGAAGGCGCAGACATCATCATCGCCGGTCGTGTCGCAGACGCCAGTCCAGTGATCGGCGCTGCATGGTATTGGTACTCGTGGAACGACACCGACTTCGATGCGCTTGCTGGAGCGCTTATTGCGGGTCATCTTATCGAATGCAGTGGTTATGTGACGGGCTCGAACTTTGCGGGTTTTTATGAGTATCCTTTGGACGAGCTCTACGATCTCACTTTCGGTATTGCGGAGATCGAGAAGGATGGTACTTGTGTGATTACGAAACATGAAGCTAGGAAGGGTTTTGTTACTGAGGATACTGTCAAATGTCAGTTTCTATACGAGTTGCAGGGGAACGTATACCTGAATAGCGACGTCAAGGCGATCCTGGACAAGGTGCAGGTCAAGGCTGAGGACAGAAACAGGTACGTCCGAATGTTTCTAATCGTCATTGTTCTTCACCAACGACAGTATCGCTAAGCTCTAGACAGAGTCCGCGTGTGGGGCATCAAAGGTGGACCGCCTCCACCTACTACCAAACTCGCCATCTTCTATCAAGCAGGGTACCAGTCTGAGATTGTCGTCAATGCAACAGGATATGCAACCACTGAGAAGTTCAACCTCTGGGAACGTATAATCAAATTCGGTCTCAAACAGAAGGGCATACTGAACAGTTTCGACATCTTGGAATTTCAGCGCATAGGCGTACCAGACACCGACCCGAAGAGTCAGCTTCGGAGTACATCATACTGTCGAATCTTTGCCGAGACGAGCGATCCGAATGTGAACCTGGGCCTAGCGAGCTTGCTGGCTGACTTTGCAATGCAACATTACTCGGGATTTCATAGTACGATGGACCATCGCACAGCGATACCGAAACCGTACCTGTCCTTCTACCCGGCGGTTTGGCCGCAAAACAAGCTCAAAACCGCAATCAACATGCTCGAATCTGGCGGGACGAGGGTAGTGACGACCACGCCGCCACCAAAGTTTGAGGAAATCGGGAAACGGCAGAGTTACGAGGCTCTGAATCCAGTAGGCTTTCAGTCTTTTGGTCCAACAACGCGCGCACGATTGGGAGACGTAGTGCTCGCCCGATCGGGCGACAAAGGCGGTAACGCAAATATTGGCTTCTTCGTGCCCACCAACCTACCATCATCCTATTCACATGGATCACCTCTCTATGCTGAAACCTGGGATTGGCTCCGCAGCTTTCTTACCATCCCCAAACTCAAAGAAATGTTTAGAGAAAGTTGGAGCGACAGCTTCTTCGTAGAAAGAGTGGAGTTCGAGGCTATCATGGCAGTACATTTTGTGGTCTATGGAGTCTTGGGTAGGGGCGTCAGCGGGAGCAGTAGGTTGGATGCTTTCGCGAAGGGCATGGGCGACTGGCTGAGAGATGTCGAAGTCGAGGTTCCGGTGAAGTTCTTGGAGGGACGGGTTAAGGGAAAGGCTGTGGCTGGAAGGTATGCGGCCGAGGTATGACTTAAGAAAACGGTATCTTCTGGTCTCCACACAGGTTCCATCAGTATCAGCACTTCTACTGCGGTCACACAAGGTGGATTCCGAAGCGTAAACGAGGTTCGGGTCTAGAAGGCTGTCGCCAAGCCGCGATGACGTAGAAGGCTAGGTGACAGCTAACATGTTTGTTCACGCATGCACAGCCACAAACGGCCAACATCCATACATCATCATTGAACTGCGCCCGTTTTACTTGTAGTGTCACAGCAGTACCACCACAAACAAAGATCTATCAAATCTCTACTGCCCGCTTCGAAGTTGAGACTAGATACTTTCTCCCAGTACTCAGTTTCCATCATGTTCAAAAAGTTGAAAGACAAGATCAAGGGTGATGACAGTTCCACAAGACCTTCATATGGGACTGATGACCACAACCAGAACTCGAATAACCCTTATTACAACTCGCCCCAAGAACAACAACACAACGTAGCGCCAACGGAAAAGTACCAAGCCCCTCCTGGCCCGCCACCAAACCAGGCTTCATCATCGTCCAAGTCTGAGTACTCTGCACCTCCAGGACCCCCACCACACCACAGATCTTCGTCGTATACTGCTCCTCCCGGACCTCCGCCTGAACGCGAGTCCTCAGGCTACGCATCTCCAGCGGGACCGCCTCCTTCGTACCCGCAGCAACCGCCTCCTAGTTGGGATCCTCCGCCATACCACGATTGGACCGTCATCCCTGACACTTCACTTTTGCCTCCGCCACCGTCGATGGGCTACGATAGTTCCCCTACTGCCAACGCGTCTACCGAGGAAGGTGATCGTGCCTTGGCTTGGACGAACATGAACCCTTTATGGCCACCACAAAATCTCCAGCCCAGCACTCATGCTGCGATCCAGAACGGTCAGCTCGCTTTGTTGAAGGCGCCATCTTATCTCGGTGATCTACTTCCTCAACCTCAAGCTGGGCATTGGCGGTGTCGCACTCATGCCAAGTGCAGAGACTCAAGCGTCCTCACGAATCTACCCATGTATAGCGTGTTCTGGGACTCACCACTCAGCACGCAGCGCTCCAAAACTATCTATTTCGAGCTAAAAGTTATTGGCATAGGTCGTGGTGGTATCTCGTTCTCGGAAGCAGACGCTGGCATTGCCATAGGCTTTGTCGCACCACCGTATCCCACCTTTCGTCTCCCAGGTTGGGAGCGTGCCAGTCTTGGTGTGCATGGTGATGACGGGAGGAAGTATGTCAACGATGCTTGGGGCGGCATCGACTTCACCTCAGCTTTCAAGCCTGGTAATACTGTCGGTATCGGGATAACCTTCTCAGTTCCCCGGAACCCACCCTCATATGAAGAGTCGCAGCAGGGAAGGATGTTGGATATTGATGTTTTCTTCACGCGCAATGGAGTGAAGGAAGGCGGCTGGGATGGCAACGAGGAGCTCGACGTGAGGAGCGAGGGAGGCAACACTGGACTGAGAGGAGAGTGTGATCTCTTCCCGGCAATCGGTGTGTTTGGTGGTGTAGATTTCGACGTCTTCTTTCATCCGTCGCAGTGGCTCTATCGCCCGTATTGAGACTGCCTGGACGTCTACTATCCACTCGAGTTAAAGTCGTACATTCCTGGAGTGAGGTAAAGTCCCTTGAACTTGTCCTACACGCTTTACAACTTATGCTAGTTCTATTTATTTTCTCTTACCCTACTTATTGAATCTGCGATAACCTTCATCATATCTTGATTCGAGCTACTTTGTTTATTTCAAAACCTGCAGTATTCTTGAGTCCTGGTGTCTCCTTGTGTTGTGAGACTGCCACAGACTGATACCATGTCTTCAATTGCATCACATATATCTCAAGACTTCGGCTATCCTCTCATGCTGGAAGATCACATTCTTATCTCCCCTCCGCCCACCGACATCCCAGATCTCTGCGCTACCTGTCATGCGTCCGGTGCGAAGAACAAGTGCAGTAAGTGCAAGAGCATCCGCTATTGCTCACCAACCTGTCAAAAGCATGATTGGGATACCAATCACAAGCTCGTCTGCAAGTCGTATGTCAACGCTACCCAGAAACCCATACACGAATCCCTGCGACGTGTCCTATACTTCCCCGAAAAGTTTCACAAACCTCTCTTCTCCGTCCTCGCGTTCGACGAGAAAGGTACAGTAGGCAGCCTCGAACATCACTTCCCCGCTGTACCCGCTCAAGAGATTAAAAAGCTCTCTTTCTATAACCGATACTTACCGTACTTTGTCCAAATCAACTATGACACCAACACTTATGGAGAGCGTGCCCTGACTGAGAATAAGACCCTTGGATTGCCGTTTCGAGGCCCGATCGTTGTGCTGGCTTATGACTTGGATGTCGCGCTGAGCGGTCCAGCGCTGAATGTAGATACAACGATTATGGGCCCGTTGGTGGAGTATGTCAAGTTGTGTCGCGAGTATGATGGGCCAAAGTTCATTGAGGTGAGTCGATTGAGTATACAAGGGCAAGGGATGTGGCTGACGCTACACTGGAGCAACCACAGCAGAGATATACCAAGGCAGAACTAAGGGATATTTTGAGCAACTCTGTCGTATCTGGTTGAGGATCGACATCAGCTAGATACTCGTCAGTATGGGTACAGATGAACAAGTCGGTTTGGCTATGAGATGATTGGAAGGATTTTCGATTCTTGAATATGGGGATGCTTTGTCCTTACTAGAAATAAGAGTCGAAGATGCCTTCTGGCTCTTTCTCCTATCTCTTAGCAATTTTGCCAGTGGTCATTCCTATATGGTTTAAGATAAGCTCGACCTCGGCATCTGCCACTTCGACGATATGCTCCGGCGCATGATCCGGCCTCCAGCCCAAACTATAGGCCCTTTTTGCTTCGAATGTGCATCTGCGTCCCAGATCAGCATTTGAGCCATCGTTTGTGGAGACGCATAAGGACTTACTTTCCACCCAGCTGCACTGCGACCATATCCTTAGGACAGCCCAAAGCCTGCGCCATCTTGTCAAGCGCGGCATCATCCGCTCTCTCAACATCAGGGCTACTGATCACCGCATGCTTCGCAAGTGCTTTTGCCATGGCGGCGTATATGTCGTACCACGCCATACTGCCAGACGAAGCGAGATAGTACCCGTCCTTGCCATACTCTGAATTCTCGCCACTCAGAATACTCTTTAGCAGTTTTACATAAAGCTTTGTGTTATCGTCAATATGGCATACTGGCCAAGTCTGGGTAGGCTGTTAGTATGCCGGTCGTCGCCATGATATTTTTCTAATTGCACGCACCCGGTCTTCCGGGTTGACATCATAGACGGTGCCAGAACCCTTCGCAGCTGTGACCACTGCAACAGTTTGGATCGAGATTTTGTTCCCAAAGCCTTTACCTTCGCCATACACGATACATGGAACAAAAATGTAGCTGCGAACACCGTATTTCTCGGCCGTTTCGATGACCGTGATGTTCGTGTTCGCTGCCTAGATTTGCATGAACGATTATGATTGGAATGCGAAGATTGTGGAACAGAGAGAAGTATTACACTCACTGCTGGTGTGGGACTTACTTTGGTGAAAAGCTCGTGTGGAGACTTGGAGCTTTTCTGGAGGTCGTACAGTGCCGGATCAGTGTCAACAAGTCTCCTATCCGTGGGCATTCCTGCATGCTCGCTAAACATCTTTGCGCCGGTGGTGTGCAGAAAGTGCACTTCCCGTCCGGTCTGCTTCTTGACATCCCCGAGAGCTTTAATTAGAGGTATCTGCATATCGCAATTCACAGCGTCTACAAGAAAATAGACGACGAAGATCTGCGCATCTACAATATTCTTCGTAACACTTTTCTCGTCCCGCAAATCGAGAGTGAAAGGAAGTACGTCATATTCCTTTACTGCCTCTGCCTGTTCTTGAGACCTGACCAGGGCATATAGAGTCTCGTTTCATGGGAGGGCTGTGTTGCGTAGCTGTGCAAGCAGCGAGCCTCCGAGGTATCTATCAGACCAATGAGTTATAAAGTAGACTTGGCCGATAGAAGCGCACTCACCCAGATGCACCGGTTATGAGAACGGGCATTATGGTAAGCAGAGGACCAGTGCGATAGGGTAATGAGCCGTGTCTTCTTCCAAGATACAAATGTTCGATTTATTGATTGTATGTGAACAAACGCTGTTTGCCAATGCTGTGTAATGCCAATGCTTTACAAAGACTATAAAACCGAGATATTATGAGTGCCTTACAAGTAGCCGAAGCTTGTCGTTTCTCTCTACCAGTTATCTGCCGAAATCGTGTATCAATGATTTGTATCAAACCGATTGCCATGTTAGGTGATCGCTGAACCCTACAAATGATGTAATACTTGTGTGCCCCGCTTCTGTTCAAGGCAAGTTAGACCAACTACAAATCTCGCCATGAATTACTTCTATAATATCCTTCCGATGATCTTCCTAATCTCTTTCGTTTAGCGATTGGTATAATGTTAGTAGACTGGGCTATGTCATTCCGGTGTGGTTCTCCGGAATTACGACATGAACCGGTCGACCAAAGTACCTAGGTATACTTTACAGCCGAGCTTCTGGTAGCTACAACTAATTTTATCGACACGATTGCAGAGATGTGTTGCAGGTTTAAGCTTCGCAGATATCCGAAGTGAAAATCCTCACAGTTCTTCGTTCGATAGAAGCGTTCTTTTCCGTAAATGCAGTCTGAACGACTGCTAGCATTAGTACTTTCAATAAATCCTCCGTCTATGATCTCAAGGAACGAGGGTATGTAAGCTATTCAGTCATCATCCTTGCCTGGACAATCAGAGGTGGGCATGTCAGACTCGGTGACACTCAGGGGATTACCGCCTTGGTTTGCAATGACTGAGGACTTGTGAAGAGATTGAGCTTTGCGTGAGCCAAGAAGGGAGAAGGTACAGAGCGCGTACCTTACAAGAAGCAGCTGAGCGCAGGAAGGCCCAGTTTCCAATCTTAGATATACATAAAAAAAACAAAGAAATAGGCGAGGAGTAAAAGATGCAGGAAGGGTTGGCATGAGTTGAAAGACGGAACTACTCAATGTAAATCTGATAAGAAGGGTCATTTCGAGGGTGCCGCTGTGGGAATGGGATCTTTTCGAAAGACGAGACGGGAAAAAAGAGGCAGCTTCAAGAGAATCCAGTCTCTATTTTCCCTCGAGGCTGGGTGGAAGACTTTTAGAGTGGCCAATTAGACTGACCAAGCACGAAGCCCAAGGATTGCGCTCCCTTTTGTGGCAGAGAATTTGTCATATTTCGATGAAAACATATACTCAGGAAGGACAATACAACCTTGGAAGGACGGAGAATGAGATTGATCAGAGTGACCCACGTCACGACAGCTGCAGCCCAAAGCAGCTACATGCGCTTCGTCTAGATTGTGCCGAACGCGAGCGTCGCGTGCATTTGCTTATCAAGTAAGTGATACGTGGTCGAGACCGCTATGAGGCGTACGAGATTCTGTCAACAAGCATCTTGCAAGGAAGGTATCGAGAGTGTGAAAGAGAAGTGACATATCTGGGTAAGCTTGGGGGCTGATGTGTGCCACTGTTGCTAGCCGCTTGCAGCTAGCTATTGCGGGGCTATGAGCCGCGGAGGCTGGAGCTGGGAGCGCTGGATGACCACAAATAGATTGCTTCAACACATTCCTGGTTGTTGACGACTCGTTTGCAAAAGGGAAAAATAACTCCAATGAGCTTTCAATGTCCGAATTGAACAAGAACAAGGGCTTTCTTCGCAACAATGTAACACAATAATAAAAAATATGGATCTCGAGGTCTCTTCAGATTCGTCGTATCGTGATTTCAGCATACGCGAGCGTAGCAGGCGGGCGCGAATTGATGCGTGCTTACAGCTGTGCCTCAGCGGACGCCTTGTTTTGAATGCAGCCCCGGCAGGAGCTGAAGGTGCAACACAGCGGATCATCACGTATATAACGCGCAGGTCTGTCGCAACTCTGCATCACAGAGGACGCGACAGATACCATGGCTCCCATCAACGACACAACTGACGCAGACGCAAAAGCGACCGAAGTACTAAAGATTGTCGAACAGTATGGTCTAAACTACGAGCGGACTGGAGCTTGGGATGGGTTCGAGACGTTCTTACCTATTGTGGCGGGACAGGTAGAGCGCAAGGAACCAATTCGCATGTTACTACCTGGTTTCCCTTTCAAATCGCCAAATCAGAAAGACAAGGTGCTGGGTGTGTTGCCGGATTTGGGCGAAGAGCTTGCGCTGAAACATCTGGATGGGCTGTGCGAGAAAATCAAAGCGATCTATGGGCATGGCGCTGAATGCCACATCACATCTGATGGTCTCGTATACAACGGTGAGCTGGAGGAAAACAACACCATGCCTCGATATATTGCTGACGATGGTAGATCTGCTTGGTGTGACCGATGAAACCGTATGGAACTTTGGACAGGGCGTGCGAGAAATAGCTGCAGCCAACAAGCTTCAGAACCTTAGCTTTCTGCGCCTCTGGGACCTGCTCGATTATCCCGGAGACTTCCAGTCAAAGGAGTACTATTTGAAGCATGCAGCAAACATTCGAAAAGAGCTCAAGCAACGTTTTGGTGACCCCAAATTCGAAGCGGACATGGCCAACACATCCACTAGCGACATGCAGATGACGCATACCAAGTATCTCGAGTTTCTAAAGCAGGACCTGGCTTTCAACGATCGGCACAACGCGCTGTCACCAGAAGACCAGGCTGCGAATATTGCCAACACAGCAAAGGAGATGATGGGTCGATGGAAAGCGTTTTCCGCTGCGCTGGCAGCCGTACCTACACAATACATCCGTCTATCAATCCACGATTCGGGTGGTAAAGATAAGCTGTCCATGGCTATCATTCCGCAGCAAGAGAAAGGAGCTTTGGGCGCAACGCCATGGCACTCGACGCTCGTGATCGAGGCAGATGGAACGTTGCGTACGGTGCAGCGATGCAAAGTCGACGAGGGAAGCTATCAGCTCGTTTGTCGCGATGACCGACCGTACTGTTTCCGCGCCAAGCTAGAAGGCGAAGACGATTTGAACAAAACATTCGAACAGCTGTATCCCTCTGGTCTCACGATTCGAAATCGCAAGGCGGTGGCTACTTAACATGGTGGTTGACAGGGGAGAAAATTGTAGACAGGGTTTTCATCGGATGTCAAGTGGAACAGGCGTGCGTGCAAAGCGCATTAAATCCGGTGAAGGTTGCAGTGCTTTGAGTCAGATGTACGCGGTTCGGACAGACATCATACGAGCAGGTGGATTATAGTGCTGGATTAGTATTTAGCCTTAATGCTGTGGGACGATGATTAGCGACTAGGTGTGTTCGGTGAGGCTGCGAAACTCCGGGAGCAGCCCAATTGTATGGTAGAAGCATGGCGCCCCTGTTATGCCCATGGCCCAAATCTTGATGATCGGTCGATGAACAAAAAGGATCATCCGCTTGTGGCGGCGTGATGTCCGCAGGAGGAGAAGATTCGCTTTGGCAGAATACGACATGCCTTGTCGCTGTGTGAGAGTTGAGGTATTGTTTGCTCCGATGCAGGGTACGCTGGCCTATGTAGACAATAGAGTTGAGAGTGAAGTATGGGGTATGCTCTGAAGACATGTGATTTCGGCGCGAAGCGATCGGATTCCGGTAGATCGGCAGTGAGAGCACTTGCATCTTCGATGGTGCCCGTGCCCACCCTCCATCAACGCCAACCAAAACCAAAGGATCGCATGGACATAAGATAGCCGGGCTCTGGCCGTGTCTTGTCTGCGCGACCGCCGATTTCTTTTGAGAATGCTGCAGCCAGTTTGTGTCTCTCTCTCGCGACTGTCACATCTGCTTCGGCAGCCACATGCAGATGCTCACCCCTCCTCCAGACGAAGAAGGCCTCGGGGCTCCTCCCATGAGCCCGTCCGACCAGGACAAGGGAGGCGCATATGACTGGACAGCCGCGCTGCCTCAGACAGATCATATCCGCTTCTTCTGCAACACCGACTGGTCGCGCACCAGCCTGGGACCAACAAGCACATGGAGCCAGACGCTGCGACTTTTTGCTACCTACGTCCTTTCTGATTCACGCGGGGCTTGCCTCTGGTGGGGGGACATCTCCAATCTCACGGCTATATACAATGAGGCATATGCGCCTCTTGCCGCCGGCGTGCATCCCAAGCTTATGGGATCCCTCTTCCAGGAGGGCTATCCGGATCTCTGGCCGTCTATTCGCCAATACTTCATAGAGGCCAAGCGAACAGGTGCTGGCGTAAACTACAGCTCTGCCACGCCCACGGTGGTTGAGCGGAAGGGGTATACAGAGGAGGCGTTTTTCTCAGGCGGGTTTGTGCCAGTAGGCATGCCAGGTGCCATCGAGGGCTTCATCAACACGACGTGAGTTACGTTCAATGGACAACTTGCATAACATGGCCCTCTCAGTCGCACACAGCTCAGGCTTCGTTCCTCAACTGACGCAACTAGCTACGAGGTCACAAGCCAAAAACTCGCCGACCGCCGAACCAACTGTCTGAATACACTTGCCTCTGTCCCCTCTCAATGTGTCGACGACGTCTGCTCCCACATCCTCACCACGCTCGAATCAAACGCCAACGACGTGCCCATGGCCATGCTCTATCGAATCGATGAGACTCCAGGCTCCAACAGATTGAGACTCCATGGTTGTAATGGATTTCCAGAAGGACATGGCCTCATCGTTGAAGAAGCCACTATTGATAGCGAAGAAGGCTTGATCCCAGATCTGCGACGAGCCGGTGCAGAACAGACGGTTATCGAGCACGACGACCGATTCCTAGCTACCTCTTGGGGAGGTTGGGGTGCGCCGTCCAAGAAGATTATCATAAGCCCTATCATGTGCGGAATACGCCTCTTTGGCTATCTCGTATTTGGTACAAATCCCTACCGCCCACACGACGATATCTGCAAACAGTTCATTCGAGATCTCAGTCGCATGGTTTCGAGCATTGTATCGTCTGCCGTTGATTGTGAAGCCAACCGAAAGCGTCAAGAGCAGCTGGAAGCTGACCTTGCTTTTAGCGATCTCAAACTACGTCATCTGATTGATCATGCATCTGTGGGCATGTGCCACGTCTCTCTGGACGGTTTAATGCTTTGGGCAAATGATCACTATTACCAGCTAGCTGGGAAATCTGCTTCAGAACATGCAGTCGGCCTTGCGTTTCTCGAAGCTTATCACGACGATGATCGGGCAAAAGCTGATGATGTTTGGGAACGTCTGATCAAAGGCGCCGACCACGTTACAGCCGACTTGCGTTTGAAGCGCATGTACACGCCTCCCACAGGCGATCCCGAGCCTGCCCAGCTCCAGGTTTTAGCCTTCCCATATCGCGACGAGCACGGAAGTGTAGTCAGTGTAATGGCTTGTACGACTGACATTAGTAGATTGTGTTGGGCACAGAATTTCCAGGCCCGATTGGCCGCTGAAGCAAGAGAAGCAAAAAGACAGCAAGAGGCCTTCATTGACGTAGTCTCGCACGAGATGCGAAATCCGTTGAGCGCCATCGTGCATTGCGCAGACGCGATTGCCAATGCGATTGAAGAGTGCCAAACCCAGCTCGCCGATATACCCGTACCGTGCCTGGATACTCTGAATGACAACATACAAAGCGCAAACGTCATCATGCAATGTGCAAATCACCAGAAACGTATCATCGACGATGTACTCACCTTGAGTAAACTCGACTCCATGCTCTTGTCTATAACGCCTGTCGCAGTCAAGCCTACGAAGCTTGTAGACTCCATCGTCAACATCTTCCAGGCTGAGCTGAAGACGAATAAGATCTCGTACAACATCACACCGGACAAATCTTTTCTGGCCCTAGGCATTGACCACGTTTATTTGGATCCATCTCGGGTGACTCAGGTATTCATCAATCTACTAACAAATGCGATCAAATTCGTCAAGCCGTCGAAAGAGCCGAACATCTCCATCCGTTTCGGTGCTAGCACGTCAGATCCCCGTGATCTATTCCCAAGAAATATGTTTTGGGCAACGGATGGCAAGCAAGACGGCGATGTTACCAGCAATCCAGACTGGGGTACTGGTGAAGAGATTTACCTTGCGTTCACAGTCAAGGACTCCGGAATTGGCTTACAAGAGAAGGAAATTTACAAGATATTCGAGCGTTTTCGACAAGCAAACGTGAAGACGCATGTCAAGTATGGAGGTAGCGGATTGGGCTTGTTCATCTCTAAAGCGCTTACTGAGAAGCAAGGTGGTGAGATAGGTGTCTCGTCGGTTCTGGGCCAAGGATCGACATTCGGGTTCTATGTCAAAACGCGAAGGGTGGAATGGCAGCCCAGGACCCTCAAAGAATTGTTCCAACAGGCTGGACAAGAAGCAGCGGCTCGACAACTGCACGTGTTGTTAGTGGAGGACAACATCATCAACCAACAAGTTCTCGGCAAGCAGCTCAAAAAAGCAGGATGTCATGTTTCAGTCGCAAATCACGGTCTAGAGGCCCTTGAGATACTGGAAAGAGAAACGTTCGACATCGTACTGATGGATCTGGAGATGCCGGTGCTTGATGGCCTTGGCGCGATGCGTGAGATTCGAAGAAGGGAGAAAGAGCAGGTGTACGCTTCTGAACGCTTGCCCGTCATCGCTGTCACAGCGAATGTTCGAAAAGAACAAATCGATACGGCTATCGCTGCCGGAGCAGTAAGTACCCGAAGATTGTTAGTATCAACCGTATGTTAACAAAATGTGCAGGATCGCGTCATGCAGAAACCATTTAAAGCGGCCGACTTGGTCTCCATGATGAAGTCGCTGATGCCGCAATTAGCGCCCTCATCCATTGAACCGCCAACACCGGGGCTAGGCCTTCAATCGAGTGCACTGGTACCCTGAATGAAGTTTCGTCAAGAAAATTGGTGAATTTATTCAGCAACTAAGTTGTTGGCTCTAGGGGGTTGCCATCGATCATCCAGTGATCCATCGCGAACAATCACGAAAGACCCGAGGATTGCTTTTGTGCTGGGAAGCGCGAATGTTTACCGTCTATCTCACAACCTCGCATCTAGATCCCTTCATGTGTTGTGGTTGTTAGAATAAGAAGTCGTGGTACTTCCTGTCGTACCTGTTCAAGCTCATATTTAAAGTTGGCTACAAGACGTGTCCAGATGCAGATGCAAATGCGGCCGCAACTGGTCACTCAAGTTCCGTGTCACCATGGAAGGTATCTTTTGATGCTGTGGACAGTTTTCAGTAACTCTAAGCGGTTGAGTACGCAAAGGTTCGCGAAGAAAGTATGTCTTTACATAGGGGAGGGGAGGACAGATGTTACATAGGTGCCAGTGCAAGGTACACGGAAGCTCAGTGTTATGAAGCTGTCAGACAGCGGTGGACATGATGGAGATATAATCAACGAAGCATCACCAATACATATTGTGTGAGAGTTGGATAGTGGCTCAACCTTGCCAACCATTTGCGAACGTTGTCCCGAGTAAAGAACTATTATCAGGTAGACCTACACACTGTCGCACTGAAGACCTATCACTACTGCCGTGGTTAAAGACGGAGATATCACCATCTCAGACGCAGCCGCCGGTAAAATAGGGTCACCACATAACCAACCAATCCAAAGTTCAACTCAAAACAATTGCAATCGGATCATGACAAAACGAACGCAAAAACAAAAAAGCTGGCCTGAAACGAAGACTCGTATTGTCATTGGGATGATTGATGACAGCATAACCTGGCCATGTGCAAGTATTTGGAATTAGGTCAAGAGCGTCGCGTAGCAGCTAGAAGGGGACAATGATTGACGCGTGAGGGCTCTTTGTTATTCTCTGCTTCCTACCCCAAGGCACATGATGGATCTTACTCGCATAGCGTTGCTCAGATCGGATGCACAATGTCATGCGAGATTGACCGACGGTCTGAAGTTGAGATGTGGGGAACTTAGAGAACTGAAATAAACAGTGGGAAAGTACATCTAGGCCGGCATCGACGCTATGGTACGCTCGTGTGGCGCCGGTCCGGCCCTTCGTTTGTGGCGATGCCTGTTGCTTTCAACAATTAAATTGTCACGCGTTTGTTAGGCTGGAAGAGGCTGTTGTCCATCAGATGAGTAATTGCAACCATGAG